CACGCGCTGCGGCGTTGATCTTCGGCCGAAGATTGAGCCGCCAAGAGTGGGCTGAAACATCTGAGCCAATCGCAAGAGACTACCATGCCTGACTCGCTCGAATGCTTGCCACGAATCAAGCAGGAGCGTCGCAACAGCCCAATGGACCCGACGGTCTTCGCCAGACTCCATGGCTCCCCACGCGCACCAAACCTGCGGCTGCCATGCCGCCCCGTCGCAGTTCTCGCCTGCAGAAGCCCACCACTAACACCGATGATGCGCAGCTTCCCAGGCCGCCGCGACTGCGCGCCGCATCCGCCCACGAACGCGCATGGGCGCCGCCGGAAAGCCAATGCGTCGCGCGCCGCCTTCACGCTTGAGTACGAACGCAAGCCCATTGATAAATTAACGCCCACAGCATCGATCCTCGACGAGCACGACGAGGTCAGCCTAGGCATTCACTCCCCCGTCGTCGAGGACCCCAACTCCGCCAGGATTTGACCTGTCGAAGCTGCGGCCACGGGTTTCCCTGGGGGTCGCGAACACTTCCCTCAGCTGCGCCACTGAGGGGCGGCCAGGACGAGCCCCCAAGTCACGCGGCCAGCGAAGCGCGGGTGGCTTGGCGGAGGCCCCCCAGTACGTCGCCCACTCTGCCGCCAGCGCTCCGACGGCATCCATCCCGCCCGACGGCGCCCCGGCGCTCTGGACCGCCGCGCCGTTAGGGCTCGCCTCCATGGCGAAGGCGTGAAGCGCCGAACCTCCGAGCCCCGCTCGCGCGTCGATCCAATCCCCGAAGCCGCCATGGGCTCCCGCGCGCCCTGCGAAACTGCGTCGTCGGCCACCTGCTCGGCAACCGCCGCCAGACGCCCCATGCTGACCTTACTCATACAATCGCGCATCTGAACCAGCATTGCCGCAGCTTTCTCCGCGGGCTGTCATGAGCTGCGCGCTGCCGTCGACCCATGACCCATTGCCCGCGCACTCGTCGCATTGGGTCTGAGCCGAAGGGGCCAGCGGCAGCGAGCGCCGCGCCCGTCAACCACATGGCCTGCATGCCCACACTGGGGGAGCGCGGCATGGGCGGGCAGGCGAGAGCCCGCCGCAGCTCGGCAGTCTCTCCTAGACCACCGCATTGAGCAGGTCGAGCCCCGCCAAGTCGCGCATGCACTCCTCCGCCACGCCTGTGAACTGCTTCCGGGCGAAACCCACGTCGTCGGCAGCACGTTGGCGCAGGGCGCGCCAGTCACTTGAAAAATCCCGCGTGCTGCAGCGGCGGGGAAAGGGTCGGGGAAAGCCTTCGCGCGCGCACGACCTGGACCCAGTCGTCGATCTGCGCGCCGTCGATCGCGAGCTCGACAGGCCTGCGCGGCCCGAACTCCCAGTCGCGCAGGATCTCCGCCCTCATCGCTCGAAGCTGCCAACACACTACGAAGAAGTGGACCGAGTGTTCCGCGGGCCTGCAGGCGCCACCGCTCGGCGCAATCACGCGCCCACCGCACCTCCCTAAGAAACGGGGGCAGCTCCAGCACCGCAGGCTCCATTTTGAAATCGCCGACCAGCACCGCGCCACCAGGACAAGACCCAGAATGATGCACGAAGGACGCGCGCCCGATGTCGAGGATCGAGCTGCCGACGCCGTCGACTGCCCCATGCCGTGGACTCGCGACGCCAAAAGGAGGAGTCTTCCGTGTCCAGGGAACCCTGGGCCTGCGCCTTCAGCGGGCGCCGCATGCGCATGCCATCCAATATTGGACAGAGTCGCTGCCACCTGTCTGCTACATTCTTCATCCAAAAGATGCGTTCCTTGAACTGCGACAAAGCCGGACCACCGAAGGTCATCTCGATCCCCACAAGACACAGGTTTAATATGCGTTAGAGTTGGTAGTGAGCCCAGCCCATGACCGCCCCTGCTCTGCTTTGCCGCACTCGCCTCCGTTAGCCTCCGCACTTGGGATGTCCAGGGCGTCGGACAGTCGCTTCCGTTCTTCAGCAGAGCCTGCGCCTGCCAAGAGCCCGCCTGGGTCCTCGACGTCGAGGTGCTCAACAAAACCAGAAGCATCGTCAGTCTGCATGGGTTCGCTGGTGTTATGTCCTTCCTCAGCGGTTGCATCGCCGCCTGGCTGGCTCGCACCTGCAGGCACTGGCTGGGTGGCCTTATCCAACTTCGCCGCGAACTCACGCATGACCTTTGGCAACGTCGGTGAATGTGTTGTCCAAGGCAGTTCCCAGGGTCGCGCCAGCTTGGAGTTCCTTGAATAAGGAGCGGGTGGGTGTCAAGTTTGGGAGGCGGCGCGGTGAAGCCCCGAGCGCCTTAGCTGCCTCCTCCGTTGCCTTCGCTAGCTCCGTCCCGAGAGTAGCGACGGCCGCTTGCTGCTCCTGCAGGGCGAGCGTCGCCTTGGAAGCATTATCCTTCGCCTTATCGAGGCGTTGCTGCCCTTGAAGCAATGCCTTGGCCGCCTTCTCAGCATTGTTCGATTTCGCCACGCCGGGAGTCCATCCTGAAGCGGCCACTACGCGCGCGAACTGCACGCGATCACGGCTGGACTGAGACAGAATACCCTTGACCATATCCCATACATCAGCTTTGAGCTCCACCTATGACTTGAAGCCAGCAGAGTAGCACCAGCTGCACCACGCCGAGGAGCAGGCTTCGCAGGCCAGATCCGAGGCGCGCATTGAGCCCATTTGCCTGCGGTTTGGTGCCATCGGCGCGGTGCGGGTCCTGGACCAGGCCGAACTCCGCTGCACCCCGCCTGTGCACACTTGAACTTAGTGACTGGATTGAACTGCGGGCAGCACGGACACTTCCAATGCGTACCGACGTTCACATTTGCCATCGCTTGTGCCCCAAAGGACGAGGACAGTCACCGAAGAACGTCCCACTTCGACTCGGCACAGCAATGAGCCGCTCTGAAGGTTTGCTGTACCAAGCCCACCTGGACCAGAACGGCTGTGTGCGTGTGTGCGTGTGAGCGTGTGTGCGTGTGTGCGTGTGTGCGTGTGTGCGCGTGTGCGCGTATGCGTGTATGCATGTGCGCGTGTGTGCGTGCGAGCGTGTGTGAGCGTGTGAGCGATTGTTTGTGTGTATGTGTGTGTGTGTGTGTGTTTGTGTGTCTGTGTGTGTTTGCGTGCGTGCGTGTGTGCGTGTATGTGCGTGTGTCTTGCAGCTTCTACCCTACATTGCGTCTTCCACAGCCGTCTTGTGGTCGAAGGGCACAAAAAATATATGGGAACCTGCCGTCATATATGTCCGATCAACCTCTGGGTGAATCATGTCAGGTACACCTGGAGTCGGATCAGACAGGTGATACCAGCGGAAGGCGGAGGAGGAAGATGATGAGGAGGAGGACGTAGCCAAGGAGGACGACAAGAAGTGGCACGAAGACGACAAGCATATTGCAGAGGACGATGACGAAGAGGAGGAGGATAAGGACGAAGGAGGAGGAGGAGGAGGAGGAGGGAAGGATTGAAGGGAGAGCAAAGAGCGGGATAAGGGGAAGGAGAGAAGGGATAGGGGACAGAAATGGATTGAGCATGATAAGGAAAAAAGGCAGGAGGAAGATCAGAAGGAAGAGGAAAACGAATAAGAGGAGGAGGGGGAGTGGGAGGGAGGAGGAGGAGAATCTTAAGGAGAAGGGCGAGAAAATGACGTGGCAGGAGGATGACGAGTAGGAGCAGGAGGAGGAGGAGGCGGAGCGGGAGGAGGAGGAGGGCGAAGAAGAGGAAGAGGACGAAAAAGAGGAAGGGGATGAGGAGGATAAGGGGGGAAGAGCGAGAAAAGTGGAGAAAGGGGATGACGTGGACAAGGAGATGCAGGAGAAGAGAAAGGGACATGGGCTGGAGGAGAAGGGAAGCTGGAGACTGCACACTGCGCCGGCGCCATCTGTGGGGGCGGCCCCACGCGGGGCTAAGCGGCGGCGCGGGGCCACCGGCATCTGCCGAAAAGAAAGAACCCATTCTTGCCGATTCGACCAGGACGGCGTGGCTGTTCCGCTGTTGGTCGCCATGTGCGAGACACGCACGACTTTTCTCAACGAGCTTTAAGGGCCCCGGCGGGGGAGGAGCGAAGATAGGATGGTGAGGAGGAAAGGCTGGAAGAACGGGAGAAGGAGGTGCAGAAGCAGGAGGAGGAGGAGGCGGAGGCGAAGGAGGAGGAGGAGGAGGAGGACGGGAGGAGGAAGAGGAGGAGGAGGAGGATAAGAAAGAGAAGGTGAAGGGAGGGAATGGAAGAGAAGAAGGAGCAGGAGGAGGAGAAGATGGAAAAGGGAGGAGACAGCGGGGCAAAGTGGGCAAGCGGAGGGGGAGGAGGAGGAGGAGGAGGACGACGAGGAGGAGGAGGAGGAGGAACAGGAGGAAGCGGATAAAGAGAAAAGAGGACCAAGAGCAGGAGCAGCAGCAGCAGCTGCTGGAGTAATTAGGGGCGGGAGCATGAGCAGGAGCAGTTCCGCGGACGTCTGGACCAAACGGCCTTCCTGATGATGGCTCGCTGCCAGTGCCCACGTCCGCTCCCCGGATCCTTCGCCAGGGCGTCGCCCTCGTTCTGCATGTCGATGGCCTTGAAGAACATCTTCAGCTCCTCTGGGCACTGTGGGGGATGTGTTTTGCTTGCTGCGGCAAGTTCCTGCCGCGATGACGCAGGTTATGAGTCTTCAACCACGCAGTACTGCCAGGATTTCCCTGGAGGGGTTCCAGGACCTTGAATACATGACGCCCGAAGCCGCAAATTCAGTACATTCCATACGACCCTGAGATGCTAACAACCGAACACAGTCCGCACTCGAGTCTGCTAACTCAGGGGTTCCCTTCGCCGGGATCTTGTTGACGGAGGGCCTCTTCACGAGTTCAAGCGACATTCCTAGATATTGATGATGAGTGCATGTAAGGGATCGGCGAAGATACGCGCAAGCTAAGAGAGAGGTTCGGGCACCGTTTTTCCCGGACGCAGGTCGTCCCCAGTCCCCGCTGGGCCAAACGCGCGCAACGGCGCACGGGTGCTAGCTTAAAATACAAGCAGGAGGAGCGACAGCAACGACTCCACCCACGGCGGGCTCCTCAGCCACCAAGCCCTATTCGCCAGCCCGCACACCTCGCCACGGCGCGCTAGCCCTAAAAAATGCCACGGCGCAGCCTGCCACAGGTAGCACATGCACCAGATGCAGAAGCTAGGGCTCGGCTTCTCGACGAAGCCATAATCTTACTCGACCGGCCCGCGGGGCACGGGGCACCTGGCGCCGTTCGCTCAGCCGGCGCGGCCCCCCCTCGCAGCCCACTTTCGACCTCGTTCGCTCGGGCCCCCTGCCAGCCGCCACCCCGGCTCAAATTGTTCTACGGATCACTCTCCGCCGCCCGCGCCCAGGCCGCATCACGGCCACCTCCATCGCGGTCTTCCCACGGGCAACCACCAGACCAGTGACCAAAGCTCTCGTTGGCCCACCAGGATGACGAGCCTTGTCAGGGCGCCGAAAAGAAGACACATCCTCCTCTCCGCGTTCGTTTCCCAACGCGTTCGCGCACGCACTTCCTTGTCCATTCTCCACGGCCACCTTCTTTGCCCGCTCGTTCGCGATCGTCTTCGGGGCGACGCGGTCTTTGTCTGGGTTCCACCCAGAATCGTCTTCGGCCCCCCTCGAACCACGATCTTGACGACGGTCAGAAGATCTGTCACTGCCGATTCCCGGTCAGCACCCCAAGCATTGCCATCTTGCCCAGGCTGTCGCCCGCCGTCATGGATGCCCGCGGCAGCGCCGCGGGCCGTCGAATCGGCGAGTTGCGCATCGGCACCCCCAGCAAGTTCTTCGGCGCCCGAGGCCGCCATGGCGCTGGCAGAGCCGTCCGTCGCAGCTGGAGCCGCCGCGACATGTCTGTCGCCTGAAACACAACTGCCAGAGGCTGCGCCGCGGCCTTTCACCAGGACGACCACATGTAGATCACCAGCCGCCATCGCCCATTCACCACGCCAGGAAAGGCCATCCACTGGCGAGCCCGTTGCCAGCTCAGCCAGGGGAGACGGTTTTCTTCTCTTTCGGATTACCAGGATTGCTCGTGTAATCGTCAGACGACCGCGGGGCGGGGACTCGATATCTCGATATCTCGATATCTCGAGGGTCGAGCGGGGACTCGATATCTCGATATCTCGATATCTCGATTTGGGGGGCGGGGCTGGGCAGGGACTCGGTATCTCGATATCTCGATATCGTGGGCGGGGCCTGGCGGGCACTCGATATCTAGGTATCTCGATATCTAGGTGTCTCAATATCGGAGGGGCGGCGGCGGGGTCGGACTCGATATCTCGATATCTCGATCTCAGGGGATGGCTCTGGACACCTCGATATCGCAGCCTGTTGACATCCACAGGGCTGCAGCCGAAGAGCCCGATGGGGTCGACGGCTCTCAGCGGCCTGGCATCTCGAGGGGAGCTTCAGGGAGCCCGTGGAGGGCCCAAGACAACCCGAAGCCCTCTCCAGGACGGCCCAGCATTCCGCAACCTGCCCCAGAACCCCATGCGCGCCAAGATTTTCACTGGCGCAACTGCGCGGGCTCGACGGCTGTCGGCGGCCTGGCATCATGGGGAGGAGCCCCAGAGAGCCCGTGGAGGGCCAAAGAGGGCCCGAAGCCCACTCCAAGACGGCCCAAGACCCCGCAAGCTGGCCCAGAACCCAATGTGCGACAAGACTTTTATTGGCGCAACTGCGCGGGCTCGACGGCTCTCAGCAGTCTGACATTAGGAGAAGCTCTGGAGGGACCGTGGAGGGCCCACGACGGCACGAAGCCCTCGACCGTGTGCGCGCCGAGACGCTCCAAGGCGGCGCGCGACCGTGTGCGCGCTGAGAGGGGAATGCTGATCGTGCTGCTGCTGCTGCTCCATGCTGGTCGTGCTGCCTCGAAGCCCCCCCCCGGTATCAGGATATCAGGGTATCGAGATGTCGAGTCCCCGCTCGGCCCCGCCCCCCGAGATCGCGATATCGAGATATCGAGTCCCCACCTGGCCCCGCCCCCCGATATCGAGATATCGAGTCCCAGCCCGCCCCCCCCCCCGATATGAGATATCGAGACATCGAGATATCGAGTCCCCGCCCGACCCCGCCCCCCGATACCGAGATAACGAGGTATCGAATCCCCGCCTGGTTCCGCCCCCCAAATCGAGGTATCGAGATATCGAGTCCTCTCGAACCCCACCGACAACAATGCCAACTAGACGAGTTGAAATCAGCAGCATGCTCACGACCTCCCTTAAGAGAAGAAGTGGACCCTAGAGCAGCGGTGGCGCGGCACCCCTGTCCAACATCACTATCCCCCGCCATCATCCTCGTTCTTGGCAGAACGGAGGCGCACCAGGTAATGAAACGCAGCGCGTAACTACCCAGCATGAGAGGGCAACTTTGAACAAGCGTGTGGAAGCGATTGGGCTATCGCCACAGGTCAAAACATAAAAGAGGGTTAGGAGGAGGCAAGAGGAGGCTACCACTCCTCCTCCTCCTCCGCCACGACCATCATCGTCAAGATCATCATCATCATCATCATCATCATCATCATCATCATCATCATCATCATCATCATCATCATCAACATCATCAGCATCACCATAAACACCATCATCATGAGCAGCATCAGCATCATCAGCATCATCAGCATGATCATCCGCATCCTCGTCATCATCGTCATCACCATCATAATCAGAACCACGATTATCGTCAGCATCGTCATCAACATCATCATCACCACCATCAGCAGCATCATCGTCATCATCATCGTCATCAGCATCATCATCATCACTATCAGCTTATCCTTGCCTGGCCCAACCCTGATATGTTTCGCCACCCGTCCTCCCCTTCCAGCATCCCGGAGCCGTTGAGGTCGTATGAGCTGAAAGCCTCCTTGATATCTGCCTTCTGCTGTGGGGTCAAAGGGTAGTCTATCTTCAGCGGCTCCAGCTTCGATGGGTTGGGAACCCACTCCAAGAAGCAGATCACGTTTTTCAGCCGCCGGACCGACGAAAGCCGCCACGACTTCTTGTACCAGTTGTTGCTCAACATGACGTAGGGGGGGAGTTCCTTCAGTGGGGCGCTGGCGCTGCCAACCAATCCCTTGTTGACGGTGAACTCGCCGAGCTGATAGAACGGCAGGCCCGACTTCTCCACCTGCAGCTCCTTGAGCCCGCTAACGGGCCAAGGATCCGGTTGCAGATCGTCTTTCGCATATTTGCGCTGCGACGGTGCCTCGACCACTTTTTCGGCCTCCGCCTCGATCTCCATCTCTTGCTCCTGTTCCTGCTCCTGCTCCTGCTCCTGCTCCTGCTCCTGCTCCTGCTCTTGCACTTTCTCGCCCCCCAGCTCGAGCTCGCCCTTCTCGTCCTCCCTGTCATGCGAGGAGCTCTGCTCCGCGGCCTGGAGCTCCTTGATGAAGGCCTCTGCAGCAGCCTTCATTCCAGCCTGGTCCTCCGGCTTGAGCGATGCGAGAAGGCCCTGCTTCGGGCGGTCGCCATCTCCAAAGTGCTTCTTGAACTCTGCGCGAAGCTTCTCCGCGAGGTTCGAAGAGCCGTCTCCGGGAAGGGTGTTCGACACCTCCACGTCAATGCGGTTCCGCAGCCACTCGAGGGACTGGAGCGTGGCAGGCTGGCCCAACCACTCTTTCAGCTGCTCGGGGGCGTTCTCCAGGTGGCCTGCTGCGGGCTTGCGCCAGAGGTTGCGCATGTTCTGCTGGCAGAGCAGCTGGTGTTTGGTGGACTCCCGCTTGATGCCGTTGAGCGTGAGCCAGCAGATCGCGTCGATGATTGCCTGCTGCTGCTTCGCTGGGTCCTTCATGTTTGTTTTCGCCTTGTTCTGGCGTTCCGCCTCTGGCACGCCGTCCATGGGCGCGAGGGCTTTGTTCATCAGCGAAAACACCTCGGGAATCATCAGGAGCTCGATCCGCTGGCCCTTGCCAATGCCGCGCATCCTGTAGGCCCCCTGCGCATAGTCACGGAAGGTCATGTCCTTACCAAGCGTGAGCAGGGCCAAGCAACTCAGCGGCTGCTTGATGTCCATGCCGGTGGTGTGGACGTGGTCATAGAAAGAGAAGCGTTGTTCCGGGGTCAGACCACACTGCGCCAGGCTCATCTCCTTCATGCCGTCGCGCAACAGTACGATGCGCTCGTCCTTTCTGTTGAGGAAGACGACGCCGTCGAGGCCTACCAGCCCATTCAGAAGCAAGTACTCCGCGACCTCTCGATTTGTGAAGCCCGTGATAAGGGCACCAGTGTCGATCAGGGCATGGTACTTTGGGCGTGTGACGTCTTTGGGGTCCCGCGCAGTCGCGATCATATCCAACAGCGCTTGTGGGGTCCAATTGCTCATGATGTCCGCGGATACGACATCCGCACGGCTAAGACACGACAAAATCTTGCCGTCGTCCCCGACAGCATACTGGCAAGAGCCCATCGCCTTTGGCAGGAGGTCGTTGGGCGTGCCGCTGAATCCGAGGCACTGGCCAAACAGCTGAGGGCCGGCCAACTCTTGTCCAGACGCTGTCAATTGTGACATGTTGACATCGATTGTGCCCAAGTTTGGTACGAATATGCAGGCGTCCAGGAAGTACTGGATTGCCAACGGGCTTGTGGAGAGCAGCTTGAATACGGTGTTCATCATGTCCACGTCGTAAAGGTCTAGCATCTCCAGTGGCCACATCCGTTTCCTCTCGGACATCACTTTGGGAGCGGCAGAGACGCCACCTGTGTCCACACCGGAGACGCCAGAGACGTCAGAGACGCCAGAGACGTCGGAGACGCCGGAGACATCCGAGACCTCCGAGACCTCCGATGGCTCGTCGGAGACCTCGGAGTCGCCGCGAGGCCTCCGCCGGGATCCATCCTTCCACTTCCGTTTCTCAGCCTCGGTCATATCCAAGATCCACGTGCCATCTTGGGTAAAGCCCTTCACGCAGCCGTCGGCCTTGCCTATCATTCTGGCATACATTATACATGCGTCGCGGCGGTGGTAAGGGACAGTACTTTGGTCCTTCATCCTGTCAAATAGGAACTTGATAAGCTTCCGCAAGTCTGTATCTGAAGTCCTGAGTCCGTTGAGACGGTAGGCCATGATAGTGAAGCCGATCACTACGTCGGGATGAGAAAACTCAGACTGTTCGCTGGGACGGTCCTTGCCTACGAAAGGAATAGCCATCAGCTTGCGTGACTGGGGCGTGCCCTTGTCCTTCAACGCAGCCTGCAAATCCTCCCCGACCAACAGGCCATAGGAGACGCGGTGCACCCGGCTGAGTACGTGCGGGACAAGGGTATGCAACCAGCTGACGCAAAGGTTGAGAAGCTTGAGGATCAGGTCGTCAGCCGTTCGCAGTTTTTTCTTTACGGACTCGCCGAGCTTCATGGGGGTCCGCAGGAATTCTTTCACCTCGCTCGTCTTTAGCACCCCGCCGACGTGCTTCTCGAGGAAGATGACCGTCCAGTCTACCAGGGAAGGCAGCATCTCCGTGCGGTAAAAGTCCTGAGACAGTATGGCGAGGTGGGGCGTACCCTGTAGCGCATTGATCGAGACTCCCTTCGTGACCGTCGCCTTGAGCTCGTCTAGTGCGGTATGCGCCTCTCGCCTGTCCTGGTACGGCATGGTCATCTCGGCGCCCATGGCCACGAACACGGCGTCGAAGATGTGGAAGGGTAGGCGAGTACGAAGGCCCTGCCTGTCCACAGCGTGGGGGCCAGTTCCGCCGTCTGTCAGGTCCAGCGGAAACTTCAGCCCCATTGGCCAGTTGAGCTCGCTCTTGAGCGGATCGAGGAGCATGTCAACCTCGTCCATCAGCATGACGCCCTTGTGGAAGAGCGCAAGCGTGCGGTTGCACACGCTCACCTCGGCGGCCTTTCTCTGCTCGTCCTGCAAGCTAAGCTTGTCCTCGAACATCGGGGCAGCTGCGCCGCCCAGCATCCAGGCGGGGAACCAGCTCGTGTCCGTGGTCGTTGTCCCACGCGCGCTGGCGTCCAGCTCCATCAGCAGCTCCACCTGCTTCAGCAGCAGGCTCTTCAGCGACGTTGGCGCCGCCACCACGACCGCGTGCAGGTCACAGGCCGTTGCCAGCTTGCTGTACAACTGCTCTTTCACTGGTGAGTCCCGGGCGAAGTTGAGCGTCATTACTGGCTTGGGCAGCACGGGCGACGAGAACGCCTCCGTCAGCACGCCACGTGACATCTCCAGTAGGGCGGCAGGCATGCAGGCACACACGAGCCTTTGCCCATTCGCCAGGTACAGCACGAGCAGAGGCGCGATGACAGTCGTCTTGCCAGCGCCCATGATCATCTGGTGGCACAGCGACTCCCCAGCCTCTGCCTTCGACAGAAATTTGCCGACCGTGTCCACCTGGGACTTCCGAAGCATCATGTTGCTGAGGAACTCAAAGACCAGCAAGCGCGGGTCGTAAAGCACTTTCCCGCCGGACTCCGTGCAGAAGTGCCGCTCGGCGCTCAGCAGCTCCGCAGTCTCCTTTGCCGAGAGGTCCACTGCTAAGTCACCAGCCCCCGAGGCCATTTCCTTTTTAAGCTTGTCCAGCTGCGTCTGCACGCGCGCGACCTGCCCCACGCGGACCGAGTGGTTGACGACCACTGCCACCTGGTTCCAGAGGCTCGCCAGGTCCTCGGCTGACAGAGCGGGGTTGGCGCGCCTCAGTGCCGAAGTGCTTCCAGGCTCTTCCGCCATCAGCGCCGCCACCAGGCTATTGAACGACACCTTCGCGCTCTGCCCGCACTTGCGGCGCAGCCAGTCCCCCGCACTGCCCTTGTTGGCGGTCTGCACTGCAAGGTCGATGTTTACCCTCATGACCTTGGCGTCCTCCTGTCGCTGCTTGGTGAGCTCACTGCTGACCGTGTCGAGCTTGCTGCTAAACAAACCAGTCCCCATCGTGCGCACAGAGTCCGTGCCATTGACATTGTTCTGGAGCTCCTGCACCAGCCTCTCCAGGCTGCTTTTGCCGACAAAGGTCTGGGCCCGTTTCTGCGTCTGCATCTTCTTAAAGGCCGCCAGGCAGGCGACCGTCCCCGGCTTCTTGCTGCTCTCGCTGGTGACGGTCACGTGCTTCTTGACAAGCGCCTCCAAAGGCTGGCGACCGAACGGCGAGCCAGCCGTGTGGGTCCTTTCCTTGCAGAGCACGTCGCTGGTGAAGGGCGGCGCCCAGTAGCGCATATCATTGGCCTGGCCTGCCTTGACCATGATCATGTCCTCGGCCTGGGGGCCCTGCGGAAAGGACGAGGGCCACTTAATTGAACCGCGCAACTGCTTCAGCTTGGCCACCGCGTCCTCCAGCAGCTTGCTGGTCTTCCCCACCTCCAGCGACCCGAGCGTCCCCTGGCCCCCGCTCTGGCCCCACTTCGGCATTTCAGGTCGCGCCTCGGGATTCAGGTCCAGCGTCCGGAGGACCGACAGCTCGGTGCCCGTCTCTCCGCCTTGAGACGCGATCCGCAGGAAGCACGAAGCGATGTCGACGGACTCATCCCCATCCAAGATCTGGCACTTGACGCTGCCTGTGAAGAGCTCGTAAATTCGCTAGCCCAACGGGCCAGAGGCGTGCTACGATCCCTGGTAACAAATGAACAATGTTCTAGTTCGTGCACGCGTGGCGGCCACTGGGGGTCCCCTGAGCGAAAAATATTCGGGCAACTCCCGGCAAGTCCGGGACAGAGATGCCTGACCTCTTGGGCGCAAGCCCGAGGGCCCCTGGAACCGTCCAGGAGCGGCCCAGCGTCCCAAGGCGGCCCAAGATGGCCTCACGATGGCCCTCGTCTGGATGCCCCAACAAGCCCGTTGAGGCTTCCAAAATGCGTCCCAAGAGGCAAAAAACATTGATGTCCTTTTGGATTTGGGAGGTTTTCAACCTTCTTGCCTTTTTGGTTTTCCGACGCTCCAAGAGGGCCCAAGAGGCCTGCAAGACCGCCCAAACACAGCCAAAGAGGCTCCCAAGATGGCCCCACGATCGCACAAGACGGCCCAAGAGGCGGCCACACAGGCCCAAGAAGTTCGAAGCTGGTCGGGAGGCCCAACCAGATGCTTCGCCTAAGGCGAAGCATGCGCCCAACCCTGTTGTACCGTACCAATGATAGCCCCAGAAGTAGGAAGGAGCCGCGGGAGCGGCGATACATCTCCAGAGTTAGGATGATCCCTTTCTGTCTCGATGTATGGTAGTGCGCCTCACAAAGGCACACTCGAATACGTGGCCAGTTACTGGGCCGAACTGGCCGCGGACAAACGCTCGATACATCTCGCCTTTGCCCTTCCACCTTTAGAAGTCAGCGGGGGAGAAGACAAAGCGTGAGTCCGCGACCAGCCTTACTCAGCAAAACAGCTGTAGTACACAAGGAAGCCAGCAGCGGGCGGGCTCAACCCAGACAAGTTAGCCCGCAGGCACGTTACCTCGCAGGCAAGTTATCCCGTAGGCAAGTTACCCCGCAGCTCACTACTCCTCAAGCGGTCCAGATGATCTCGTCTGGCCCGCCCTGTAGGGAGTGTGTCGCTTCAAGTCGGGGTTCACAGATCGCACTCCCTCCATGACTTACAGAAGCATGACTCTGTCGATGCACCCCATGGCGTGACCATCCGCAGCCATATGGCGAGTGTCACACCACTGCACACAATGCACGTTATCTCGCTCCATCATTTGCCGCACACAACTAATGTGACCCAAAAGTGCACATCCAGTCGGTTTCTTCAGGTCTTTGCTTGACAAGGACTTGGAAACGGATTCTGCATCAATGGTCAAAGTGACCTTGATGCTCAGGCCGCCTATTTCAAGCGGGTGTCAGCGGCCCTGCGTGGAGCTCGTGCAACGTGGCAATCGTGGGATAGCAGTTCTCCAAATTGCGGGCTGCTCCTAAGTGCTTCGGCTGAGTAGCCCGAGCGGACTTGCACGCGATGAAACACGCAGCACGCGTCGACAAGATGGACGACGGGCTTACCAGCATGCGCGTGCCCACGCCTTAGCAGGTTTGTCACGCGAATATCATAGCCTTTGAATTCGTCATCGTCATCACCGTTCCGGCGACAGTAGCCGGAGTCGCTATGCAGATCGCCCTCGCCCGTTGGTGCCATCGCTTGATAAACGATCTCCTTAGGGCAGGCCTGCAGCTCCCTTGTGATCGCGCTAAGTTGTCACACCTGCATATAGGCTGGTTCTTGAACACGATGCAGTGGTACACCATATACCATTAACCACACTTGCGCGATAAGGGCGTCAGCCAGCGCACCTCTGAGACTGCCAAACATATCAGCGACCATCTTCGACGCCGGAGCCTCCGAATCTGCGCCCGTGCGTTCGCGAAGATGGATGGGGCGGAGCTGCTTTATAGACTCGTCCTGGGCAAGAGTGGCATTGCCGTCACTGCCTTTAGCATATCTCACGGCACAATTGGTGCATGTGTTTGTTGAGTTTACATTTCCCGAAAGTATCCTCAACACACTTGACGCACTTGTCTTTGGCGCCCTCGGTACCGGCCACGTTTCTATCATCAACATGCCTGGCAGTAGGAAGGTCAAGGCTCGTCTCGAACTCTTCGTCGTAAGACGTGGGCATGAGACCAATGCCTCTCGTGATCTTCCTGAGCGTCAGTGAGAAGGCTCTTGGCGCATCTTTAGTGCCAGCGCCTGGCTCAGGCACTGCAAACAGCGTCTCGACCCATCATAATGCTCGAGCATCCTGGGAGAGATCCGAGCACACATGCTGAACCAGGTGGCAACTTAAAGCACGCCACGTTCCTTTTCACCGGATGCTTCAGCGCACCGTTGATAAGCAAGTCCACTCAGGAAGGCCATGTCGATGCCAAGGGAAGCAATGATCCACAGCTTCCTGCACGCTGCCGCGCGGGCGAGCAATCGCCGGCACGACCACCGAGCCGTTCCTGAGATGGTTTCCACATCGAGGACTCCGAGGTCCATGAAACCCCGGAGTGCCAAGCGCAATCTGATGGCGCGCCCCATCTCGCCCTTTTCGTTCTTGACGAATTCCCATTATATACGTATCTCGAAATCATGGTGTTTGACATTTTGGATACATGTTGCATGTTGAAGCTCTCGTTGTCAAACCATGTCTTGAGTTCAATAAAAAGGGCCTTCAATACCTTGACTGGATTCGCCTGAATATCTGCCTTCGCGAGAAGGTCGTCCTCCTTGGCGACTACAGCTCGTTTAGCTGCAGCGGTCACATATACTCGCATAGTGGTAGCACGGTCGAAATTCAGTATTCTACGTTGTTGTTCGGATAAGACTGCCTTTGACACTTCTGCTGTAAAGCAGAGTTCGACGCATGGCCCTTGCTCGTCGGAGTCTAATCCGCGGCTGCCATCTTCGTCCGTGGAACACAATGGGACATGATATGTCTCGGTTGCGTAAATGTCCGGCGGGCTACCCCGCGAAGGCAGGTGCCCCCGCTGTTCTTCAGCTACAGTGACCAGTGCGCTGTTATCAGAAATCATCTGCGCGGGTACAATATAGAGTTCTTATATTGGGGGTGCCTGCAATAGTTCCCTGTCGTCTTGTAGTTCAAGATAGCACACTTCCATAATGTGCGCCTCGAGGTCCGCCTGTGATTCCTCATAGATTGCGGGGGGCCGGCCGTCCACCTGCCGCGATTCGGCTTCTGGGGCGCCCCTGGCATCACTGCCTTGCGCTGGCATGTCGGCCATGTCTGCGAACTTCGACATGTCTTGATCGAAGCCCGCTTGAGGTTTGGTGGAGTTCAGGCACTGGGTGGTTCTAGAGTGTGGTGATCCAGCTGTGTCTTGAATGTTTGGGGCAGTGCCTTCAGCTACATAAAAAATAAAAACGTGGGCTCAAGTCGTTATCATAGTACTCCAGCGTACAACAGTCAGCATACGTCACCGGAGGTAACTTATGAATGTTCTTGGTTTGCCTAACAGAAGCCACGTTTTCGATACGGAAGAAGTTCCTGATGAGGTACTGGAGAGCGAAGTGTACCTTTGGAGATAATCGGCTCGCACTCGTCATCTGGAGTGGCCCCTTTTTGGTCAGGAGGTATCCGAAGGTCATAGCGGGTCGCCCCGCATGTAGACTGGCTACGACTGCCAACACAGTCCGTAGTGCGTGCTGTCCGAGCCAATCTCGCGTGCGATCAGAGCCTCAATGCACAGTGAGCGTCTGGCATCACCGCACTGGACTTGCACATCGCGATTCCCAACTCTTACGATAACTTGACCCCTGTCAGGATCGTCCCGCGCGACCGGGAAGGGTCCATCCCAGCCCCCCCAGTCGTCTGTCGTAGTTGTGGGGCGATGGTAGTCAACTCGATCTCCTGCGTTACGTAGTACCCCGCAATTGCGGATAAGAGCGACGGGGCTCTCCACCGACACCTGGAAGGACTTGAAAAACAGCCCGCCGCCGGCGCCGAAAATCTTGATTTGTACACTGGACGCGCTTTGGGTCTCGGGTGGGTCGCAGGTTCTCCACCTGGAACGAACGCAAAAGAAACCCGCCGCAGGCGGCGCAAATCTTGGGTGGGTCGCGGGGTGGGTCGCGGATGGGTCGCGGGTGGGTCGCGTCGGGTCGCGGGTGGGTCGCGGGTGGGTCGCCAGTGGGTCGCGGGGTGGGTCGCGGGCGGGTCGCGGGCGGGTCGCCGGTGGGTCGCGGGCGGGTCGAGGGGTGGGTCGCGGGTGGGTCGCGGGTGGGTCGCGGGTGGGTCGCGGGGTGGGTCGCGGGTGGGTCGCGGGGCGGGTCGCGGGCGGGTCGCGGGCGGGTCGCAAGGTGGGTCGCGGGCGGGTCGCGGGGCGGGTCGCGGGTGGGACGACGACAACAACAAACAACAAACAACAAACAACAACCAACAACCAACAACCAACAACCAACAACATCAACAACAACAACAGAAACTCACCAACCAACCAACCCACCAACCAACCAACCAACCAACCACAACAACAACAACAACGACAACAACAATAATCCGCATCAAGGAATTCCACTTCAGCCACGCACCCAGGGACAGTGAATGACCGTCTGGTTCAGCCACTCACTCTGATACCAATGCTGACCAGTGATAGCCGTCTTGGTGTAGTGCGCGGCTTGCTTTTGATATTGCAGTGGCTTGTATAATAGCCTCAATGCTTACCCGGCGGATAGTCCGATCTCGAGAATGATCGGATGTCTCCGTCTGTCGCTCGCGATCTAGAACAGGAAAGTCCGGTAACATCACAGGTTGTCGGTCAAACAGTGCGCTGCATGGAGATACCTCGTTGCAGAAGGTGAACGCGTTGGCGGCAGACAGAGCCTCGTGCAATAGTCGGGTGAACACAAATGGAATGTCTAACCTAGTGAGCTCAGTCTCCATGACGCGAAATAAGTGTCGTAGTATGCCACTTCTGGCTTCAATGGTAGTGGCGTGTTGCCCACGCGCACGTATCCTTAGCTCTGTGTCCATTGCCTTAAAGACTCCCTTTGCGGTGTCATTATTGAGAGTACCCCTTCCGTCAGAGTATAATACTTTGCCAGGTCCGAATTGCATCCAGCACTGGGATGCTGGTCATAGTATTGTCTGGTATCTC